GGTCTTTAGTGGAGGTTCGACTGTACTGTGCTATGCATATAATCCCAATTAAATGCCAAACCCTAAATGACTTTCTCTTTTATCCATGTCCACCCTCTACCCACTTGTGCTTGCGCTAATTTAATTTCCCGTGGTTTTTGTTTCTCTCGTGCGCTCGACAATCCTGCGAGATCAGTACAGTTGAGCTAGACTTCTCTGTATTAACCTCCAGTTTGATTCGTTAATTTTTGTTGGTGTGCGAAAGTAAACGAGCTGTGAACAAAGACACTTGAAAATGTAGTTTTTTGGGCAGTGATCACCAAATAACGTGAAACTAAAGATTCAAAAGTTAATAAAGAGTACCCAACCCAAAAGACAATAGCTAATCAACAACAGTTTCCGCAACACCAGGAAGAAAAGGGTTTGCTTGTTAGCTCCAATTCCTTTTGACATGCTATAGAGCTTTAGTTCGTAATTGCCTGCCAGCATAAATTTCATTTTCCCTGACTCTTGAAAAACATGGCCTTCAATTGAGGGACATGTAACAGATAACACGAGGGTAAAATTGTAAATGACAGACTTAATAGAAAACCAGCTCTTGTGATAGAAAACGGATGGCTACGGTCTGAAAACTATTTAAACAGCATGAATAGTAAAACAACAAAGGTTAAAGTAAAAATATCTCGACCAAAAAAGTTATTTTCAATGAATCTCAAACGAATAACAATAGATAGTCTTTTGTCATTTGTCAGTAACTCTGACTACAAATGTCAGTTGTCAGTTAAATTTTCGGCTATTTGTCAGTTGACAGTTCTTTTTTTTTGCCATTTTTCAGTTTTGTCAGTTAACCCCATTGAGACCCTCTGTTTTGGTAACTCATGGCTATAAATGTGTTCAAATTTACTCTGTTTAGTTGGTAAAGTATCTCTAAACATTTTTAAGAAACTGAAACAAGACCAATTGCACATGTTGTCAACAAATGATTTCAGTTTTGCGCGTTGCTCCTTAGTGGCCAGTCAGTGTCGGATATCAACAGCATCCCTGCCTCTCTGTTTTTGAGATTCTTCCAGGGAGAGGAATCCCAGCAAAATGTAATGAAAGTATAACTGGCAGATTCCTTAAAAGAAAGTCGATTCACTGGCAACGCAAACTGTGTAAACGTATCTATATGACCCCGGAATGCTAGTGTCGATAAGTTGCTGGCGGTTTTGTTAGCACGCAAAGGGAAAAAGCGCGAGGAGGAAGCTCAAGAACAAAGAGGAATGGCGCACAACTCTTTTAGGAACAATAGTTACAGTGGGTGACAATTTTATAAGTAATTGGGTGGCTCCAAACAATCTGGCTCCAATACAAAAATTTGGCAGGGATGGCGCTGGTTGGTTGGTTTTACTTTTACCGTGAAGATCTGAAAACGAAGAACAAAACTTATGAGACAAAGAAGTTTCTCTTTGTTTGACATAACCCCTCAAGCGAGCTGGTTCAAAGCTGAGAAACTCTGAAAAGGACTAAAGGTATGTTTTAATGTGTTTGATAATTGTATCATTTTTAATTGATGAACGCTTTAAATAGGTTTAAACCTTACTCCTGCATGTTAATTGTTTCCTTTTATTAGGTTATTTCATTATTTTATTTTACCATATGCTTATCTTAAATTTACACTGCCAATTAGTTTCACGTATTTCCGGTATTACGATAAGATGCTACACAAAAAAACTTCCCTATGTAAAATTCTCATTCTACCTTAAGAAGCCTGGTTTGTCCAGCCGAAATGCAGTGCACCTTCAAAAAATTATTCCACGTTGTGTCGGTTTCTTCTTTTAAATTTTCCATTTAATATGTGAAGCCGATTAGATTACTATTGATCCAACGTATACCAGCAGGATCATCGTTCCGGTTGCTTGCTTAAACATTTTATAGTGCATTTTTTGTCCATTCTATATGCGCTTACAAAAGTCTTGCAACCCAAGCAGTTATCTTGGATGAAGAGGAATATTGCCGAGTTTAACCGTTAACTTACTTGTAGTAGTATTAACGAAACAGTATGGACACAAAGTTTATGAAGGACATCTCAACACTGTTAATTTCGTGTCCAGCCCACACAATGTCTCCCTTATTACGTATCCAACAAATACTTTGCTAGAAGCTACAAAGAGGGTGGCAAAAGGTTTTTGCGTAACGCGTGATCGCACCAAAATTGGCAACGTGATGCGTGATTGAGACCAAATTAGCTGCGTGACGCGGGACAGGACATCATAACGTGGTGCGCGATTTGCTATATTACAAGAACGTGATGCGTGGTTTACCAACTAGATTTCCCTGATAAGTGAACGTGCTTTGAACTAGAAGGATGCCATTCATTCAAGGGAAATAGTGAATAGAGTTTTAAAAAAGATCAATAAATCGTGGTAGAGGTGACACCATTTTGTGGTCTTTTTTTTTCCTTTTTTTGAAAATAGTGAAACTTTGCACAAGGACTATAAACTTCAGTGTTATTTTTGTCCTTTTTTGTCGAGCGATCATTTTTAGCAGTGCATCAGACCATATCCGAATTTCAGGCTATCGTATGAAAGGTCTGAGAGAATGTCGTCCCAAACAGCTGAAACAATAAGAGACGTTAGAGTTTGGTGTCATTATATGCCCGGTCTCCCTTACGGGTCACGAATTTTATTTGGACAATAATTGTCATTTTCGGCGGAAAGTGTTTGGAATATTTGCCGATGTATTCCTGTGGTTGAATCGGCAGAGTTCTCCTTTTAAAGACACTTTTAGGGTCGAGAAAGTAACGTTGGTGATGTATTTACTTCCTTTTACGTGACGCGTGAGTGGTGAAAAAAATTATTCGTGATGCATGATTTAATAGAAAAATTCAGCAAAATGAGTGATTGGTACCCCCCCCTCCCATTTGCCACCC